AGAGATCTTAATAGCACTGATCAGGACTAGGTTGACCTCACAGAGAGAACAGAGTTACTTTATGACAGTTGTAACTTTATCCAGTTACAAATATTAAAAAAATCTTGCCTTTCATACATTTTCTTAGGCAAAGAATGCTAAAGTAATTATAAACGGTCTTTAAAATAACTAATGTATACATATAATGGGAATGGGAATTTAAATATGTGAATCCCTAGATAGAAATGGTATTTACTAGTCTACAATTTTTTTAAAAAGTCTGTGAACAATGGCTCCACTGGGACAAAATTACTCATCAATAAAGAATACTTTCAGCTTTTCTTCTCTTTAAAAAAGAATGTAGGAAACAACGCAGTAGCATGAGAAGAACTCATACGATATCATTATCGTACTTGAAGTTGTTCATATGGAAATTCTGAAACAAAAGTTTTAAAAAGTCTTTTTTTAGAGCCTATATGGCAACTTACCTCATGTAAGTTTTAATATCTCTGCAATTTCAAATAGTTCTTTGTAGACCAACTATGCTAATATAATTTTCTATTGCTTTTCATTGTGTGAATGAGTTTGAATTTGTGTCTGCATATCCGAATACCCTCTAGATCAGCTCATTTTTTCCATGTGTCAGTAAATTTTCTACCCTCCTCTTCAAACCCAGACACTTCATCTCTGAGTTTATTCTTAAAGTTATACGATTGTGAGTTATCTCTCTACATGGAGATGTTGCCCATGATTGTGTGTATATAAAGTCTAGTTATACACATATAAATATTTGCTTATGTATATATTGTACCTATTTCTACAGCCTTATGGAATTCTTAGAACATAGTGTATAAGAAATAGCAAATGATTTCCTCATCTGAAAGTTATAGGGGTAATGCAATACAATTATGTTCTACATTTAATAACTACTATATTATTACACAATGTTTGTTAGTTATGACTGAATCTAGCATTATACATATGTATGTTTGTATATACATTTTATACACAACGTGATTTCTAAGTAACTGAATGAAGCTAAAGTTTTGTAAGTCATTAGATTAGTAAATGAAATAACATGATTGTATTCATTCAATTATTTTAGTGCTCTTTCTTATACTAATTAAAATTATTGATGAATAATCTAAAAATTTATGGTATTCTGTGCTATGCTTAGTTTAAAAGTAATTACAGAGATAATTTCTGGCTTCATTCTTTCAGAGATCACATTGTGTTTACTTTTAACTTCATTATTTCTTTGGTTTGGTCTTTGTTTATAATCAAGAGCATAGTGCTAATTTCACCAGTCATTTCTCTGCCAACTAAAATGTCACTGCATTAGATCATTCATGTATAGACATTTATATGATCATTCATGGCAGTGTTCATTGCTTTCGCCTCTTTTTGCAACCATATACAGAAAGACCCTTTGTGACACCATGAGCTTAACTGTGGTGTAACAAAGGCTTGATTCCTTGTCTCACAGAGCTTATAATTCAATTCACCTTCCTTATCTTATAATAAATAGCTACTGAACCAAAAATAAAGATAATTTTTGTAAAGTTGTTTTGTTTGAATAAGTTGGTGTTCAGTCCTCCATTAGATAATAAATTAGAATTTTATAAGCTATCCTCTGGTAAATGAAGCCTCTGGGATTTTTTCCTTTTCTGTAAATTCTCTGTAGGAAGGCTTTTTTCATTTTAGAAAATTAAAGATAAAAATATATATGTTGAATTATAAGGAACATGTAAAAGTGATTAGTGCTACATGAAATAGAAATTTTGTGGAGTGAAAAATTTCATGATGAAAAACTGCATTCCTTACCTTTCTGGAATCTTAGTTGGTAGTTGTCACTTTTACAAGATAATTTCATTGTCTTATTTAAAGCATTTATTGTCATAAAAATATCATCCTTGAAAAATATCCTTATTCAACATTGGCACTCCTACTTTATAGTGCCAATTTCTTAAAACTTCTCCAAAAGAAATTCATTTACTGTATTTTTCCATCCCACTACCATTTAATGCATTTAATTTATTATACTAATTACAGAGTATTAAATGTATTAACTAAGAAGACTTACCACTAGTCTTTTTTACCTAAGTA